CTCCTGAGTGCTGGAATTAAAGGCATGCGGCACCACCAACCCTTTTTAAACACAAAATCTTTTTTTTTTTTAAAGATTTATTTATTATGGGGCTAGAGAGATAGCTCAGAGGTTAAGAGCATTGCCTGCTCTTCCAAAGGTCCTGAGTTCAATTCCCAGCAACCACATGGTGGCTCACAACCATCTGTAATAGGGTCTGGTGCCCTCTTCTGGCCTGCAGGCATACACACAGACAGAACATTGCAAAATAAATAAATAAATAAATAAACAAACGGATCTATTTATTATATATACAGTGCTCTGCCTGCAGGCCAGAAGAGGGCACCAAATCTCATTACAGATGGTTGTGAGCCACACAGTTGCTGGGAACTGAACTCAGGACCTCTGAAAGAACAGCCAGTGCTCTTAACCTGAGTCATCTCTCCAGATCCCAGAAAATCTTTTCTACTTTTTCTTTTCTTTTTTATCCCATATAGCCCAAGATGACCTCAAATTTGCCATGTAGTCAACATGACTTGAACTTCCGATCCTCTTGCCCCCACCTCCCAGTCCTGCTAGGAATACAAGAGTGCTCTTCACACCCAGCACATTCAATGCTAAGCATCCAACCCAAGGCCTCATGCACAGAAGACAAGCACTTGACCCAACTGGGCTATACCCTCAACCCCAAATCTTTTTTTATTTATATTTGTCTTGCCACTATACACTGTGCCTTCTTTTCTATTATCTCTTGAAAAAATTAACATGCAAATATAACCCATTTTTAAACACTTAACTCTTTCATGACCCTACAACTGCTTTCTCCAGAATGGAAGGTAAAGAGCATCTACTATGTGCCAAGCACTATGATAGCTGAGATGCTGTGTCTTGTTTACTTCTAAAACATGAAAACAAATTAAGGTCTGGCTCAGTGGTAGGGCACTTGTCCTTTGTGTATCAGGGTTCAATTTAGAAGTGGAGAGGGGGGTTACATGGATCCTGGGAATGAAGCAAAACATCATCCTATGACCCTGAATCATCCTGCTGACCTTGTGAAAGAACTCTTTATTTTTCCATTTTGTGTGTGGGCGCCCCATGTGTGTGCAGGCATGTGGGAGCCTGATGTGGAGCAATCCTACTGTACACTGTGAAAATGCGTTGCTTTCATTGTTAATAAAAAGCTTATTGGCCGATAGCTAGGTGGGATTTTCAGGGCAGAGAGAATGCTGGGAAGGAAAAAGGCAGAGTCTGTGGGGTCAAGATGAGACAAAGAGGAGCAGGACGAGGCACCGGTTCACATGGTAGAAACAGATAGAAGTATGGGTTAATTAAAATTGTAAGAGCTAGTAACAAACCTAAGCTATTGGCTAATTATTTATAATTAATATGAAGTCTCTGCATGGTTAGTTGAGGTCCCGATGAAAAACTCCACCTACAGGAGGCTGGTTCCAGGAAAGCAGGTTTTTGTAGAGTTAGACTGCTTCTCGAGTTTTTCCCTTTCTGCAAGCACGCACTCGCCCTTCCCCAGTCTACCTCTTGCCAATACTGCTGCTATAGCCATGAAATAAATTGTCAGCTTCCAGAACCCTAAGGCAAAATAAATGTTTCATTTGTAAATTTCCCAAGTTCCCTAGGCTGCAGTAGCATGGACTAGGGCATGTTTCTTCCATCCATAAACACACACAAAAGGAGAGAGAGAGAGACAGACAGACAGGAAGAAAGACAGACAGACAGGAAGGAAGGAAAAAGAAGGAAGGAAGGAAGGAAGGAAGGAAGGAAGGAAGAAAGGAAGGAAGAAAGGAAGAAAGGAAAAGAAAAAAGGCCTGCAGGCACAAACTGCCTACAATGGAATGTTAGACTGTTGGCGAACTTAAACCCCAGGCACATTTGCTATCCCAGTGCTGGGGAAAGAGAGGACCTAGGGTTTTCTGGCTAGCCACTCCAGCTAGTTTGGTGAGTTCTAGGCTAAACGAAAGAAGCTGTCTCCAACAACAAAGTAAATGACACCTATGACAGCTGATGTCTTCTGGCCTGCAACCCACAGACAAGAATGCATGCACACTTAAGTCTCCTCTGGAGACTCTTCCCTATCACCCCTCAAAAAACAGCCGAACCATTTCCTTTCCACTTTTCCCCCCTCATCTAAAGTGCCACTGTCCATCAGACACAGAAACCCTGTAGCCCCCTTTAAACTTTCCACTACATAGCTTTCAAGTCCACTAGAATTTCCAATGCCAGGCAGTTCATGTCAACGCTTTCGAATTATTACTTCTAACTAAAACTCTTGACCAACTTTTCTCATCCTTTATAATTAAGCTGCAGAATTTTACCCTCCAGAAAATAAAAGCAAATTACTTTTCTATAAATTACCATTTATAGAAATTGTTTAGGCTAGGCAGTGGTGGTGCATGCCTTTAATCCCAGACCTCAATAGGCAGAGGCAGGCGGATGTGAGTTCAAGGCCAACCTGGTCTATGGAGCTAGTTCCAGGACAGCCAAGGCTGTCTTAAACAAAACCCTGTCTTAAACAAAACAACAAAAACAAGTGAAAAATTGTTCAGATTATGTGCGTGTATGTGTGTCTGCGTGAGAGCATGTACACTTGAGTGCAGTTGCCTTGGAGGGCAGAACAGGGCATTGGATTCCCTTGAGCTGAAGTGACAGGGAACTGTGAGCCAACCAACATGAGTGCTGGGAACCAAGCTTGGGGCCCTGCAAAAGCCATCTCTCGAGCCCCGTGAACATTTCTTCATTTGTTTATTCTTCAAGACAGTCTTTCTCTGGGTAGCCTTGGCTCTCCTGAAACTAAACTAGCTCCGTAGAGCAGTTTGGCCTCGAACTCACAGAGATCCTCCTGCCTCTACCTCTCAAGTGTTGGGATCAGGTGTGCACCACCACCGCCAGGCCCATAAAATAATTTTTTAAAGCCTCATTGTTTTATTTGTTTTTCTGTCTGTCTTGTTTATTTATTTATTTACTTATTTATTATGTATACAATATTCTGTCTATGTGCATGTCTGCAGCCAGAAGAGCGCACCAGACCTCTTTACAGATGGTTGTGAGCCACCATGTGGTTGCCGGGAATTGAACTCAGGACCTTTGGAAGAGCAGGCAATGCTCTTAACCACTGAGCCATCTCTCCAGCCCTCTTGTTTGTTTTTTGAGACTGTGTTTCACTCTGTAGGCCAGGCCAGCCTGGAAATGGACGTGGTAATCCAGCGAGATGACAGGTTTGAGCCACCACACTTGGCCATCTTGTTTTTCTAACTAGTCTTTGATCAAGTTGAAGACAAGGTCTGTTTCATTTACCTATTTCTCTGTGTTCATTGGAGCCTAACACAGGACAGACCCTCAAAGAGCATTATTTTTTGTTGTTTTTTTCCACTGTGTCAGATGCTACCTTTTCCATCCTCAAAATTTCACTGCAGTTTACTTCTCTTCGAACACTTACTTTCTGTCTCACAATAGAATTATGAAAATCCCCCCTCCCTCCCCCCCTTTTGTGGCTCCAATAGCTTGTGCTCTTTGATAGGATCGGGTTTAAACTCTATGCTGATACCCTTTACCTGCTTGTACTGATTTTTCAACAATTAACTAACAAATGCACCTATGATTAAAACAACTATTACACACACACACCAACCTGAACACCCTCTCATATCCTACACTTCAGGGCTTTCCCACTTGACCCACTTAGCTACACCGCTAGCCACAATTCAATTGTGTGATTTTTTTTCTTCTAATATGAATTAATCACTTAACAAGGCACAGTTCCCATACCACAAAGGGCTTTCTGATCAGTCAGACGTATCCCAATGTTATATAGGAGAAGCAAACTTGGATCAGAAAAGGGTTTCTGGTCCCTTCTGAAAGGTCAGTCTATATTCCAAGAACACAGTCAGCGACTTCGAGGCCAGCCTGGGCTACTTGGTGAGACCATGTCTCAAAAGACTAAACCACCCTGGCCCAACATAGTGGCGCACGCTTTTTAATCCCAGAATTTGAGAGGCAGGGGCAGGGCCAAGCAGATCTCTGCGTTTCAGGCCAGCTTGATCTACACAGTCAATTTCAGAGAAACCAAAGCTACATAGAGCGACCCTGTCGCAACCTCCACCCCATTCCAAGACCAAACCACAAAGCCTATCTACTAACTACTCCTCGGTTAAAATAGTTACAGAAGACTAAACTGGTCGAGTCCGAGGCACGTGGTTCTGCAGAGTGTCGGCGATGGCGAACGCGGGGTTTGGAGTAACAGACTAAACAAGTCATTGACTAATAGCCCTCTGGGATTCGTTACTAGATGCCATGCCAAACCATACCCTCTTTATGGTACCTCGGAGACGGGGCAAAGGACGACCCACACCCTAGGGACCTGGACCTCCCACCCCGCGGCGTGGCTCTCAGCTACATACCCACCTACCCATGCCCTAGGAGGGCTCGTGACCACCTCCAAAGACACCCTTCCCCTGTGTGCGACCACGGCGAGCGTGGAGCGGGCTAAGGGCCCGTCCAAGCGACAGACCCCATTTCTTGCACGAACTCGACAGCGAAACAGTAACCCTCAGCGCTCGCGATCCGATCCTCACCTGTTCCGCCGACACCGCTCCCTTCCCCGTGCTGTTCCCGCTGCTCTTGCTCACACGGCCGCCGCTGTCCGCCATCTTGGCCACCTGCAAGCTTTCCGGCCTGCGCACTCCCAGTGCGTCACATCCGGTCTGGTAGTTACCACCCACTTGCCCCAGCGCTTCTGGTTCCAGGAAGCTCCTCAGATCGACCCTGCGAATGGTTTTGGCGGTGTCTTCATGTAGGACCTACTCCCCAACCCTGCCCGCTGCGGTGAATTCCACCTGCGATGCTTTAACTTGTGCAACAGAGATTCTTGTCCCAGGGAGAGGCGGGAAGGACGCGCTAATCACAGGGCGGGGTCTAGGGTTGGGATCTGGTCCTGTGCCCCCTACCCACCACGAGATGGTGGGGGATCTAGGGAGAGTGAACGTTCCTCCCGAGATGCTGGTGTAAGGGGAAAGATATGTGCTAAGTCTATAAAGCTGTGCAGGTGGCACAGCCGAGAAGAGAGAATTGGGGAAACGAGGAAGGTTCCATGAGATGACTTGAGCTGCGGAAACCTTTGGCAGAGGAAAAGGGCTTCAGTTTTAAATGTGAGATCACTGGAAGTTGAGGTATTGAGGCACGGGTTATAGTCTCCTCTCTCATTTTCCCATTTTATGATCTCCTTCCATAGCTACTAATAGTTTTTAAAGAAAGTGTTTTTGAAGCCTTGGGGGAGGGGAGTACTGACCAGGCCTGAAAACGGCAGAGAATTGTAGAAACTTACTGCTTGAAGGAGGGTTAGGTGTCCTGATTTCTCACCTTCTTCAGGCTGGGCTTCATCACCAGGCCTCCTCGCCAACTCCTGTCCCTTCTGTGTATCGGATACCGATTACCTCGAAGCTCAGTACTTTGTACTCAGCACAGGTAACATGTTTTTTTTATGTTCTCAGCCTGGCATGTTGCTGCTCAGTCCATGTTAATAACTGCATAGTGGGAGACAAAAGCGTCTGCCACCCACCAAGCATTTAATAAGTGAACTCCAGTAGCTCTGGGTTTCTGCTCCGTAAGAATGGTGGGACACACCATCATGTAATCTCAGCATTTGGGAAACAGGCAGGAGGAGGATCAATCAGGAGTTTAAGGTCATCCACAGCTACATAAACACGGCCTGCTTGGGCTACAAAACACCCTGTCTCAAAAGAGAAAAACATTTGTCTCTGGCCCAGTCCCACTGGAGCCTCTGGGATTCTCCATGCTAGCAAATCTGAGAACACTGCCTGTGCCCTTCACAGGCCCAGAGCCATGGCGGTGTCCACATCAACTTCCTGGGAGCTGCCCCTGGTGGCTGTGTGCCAGGTAACATCAACCCCAAACAAGAAAGAGAACTTTAAAACATGTGCTGAGCTGGTTCTCGAGGCAGCCAGACTGGGTGCTTGCCTAGCTTTTCTGCCTGAGGCATTTGACTTCATTGCGCGAAATCCTGCCGAGACATTACAACTGTCTGAGCCACTGGATGGGGACCTTATGGAACGATATAGCCAGCTTGCCAGGTACAAGGGTGGGAGGGAAATAGAATCATTATTGGGCTGTGTTCCTGGATTGCCACATAGAGGGGGTAGAGCCTTGAGTGGAGTTGTCAGTGTCCCCTCCCCCCAGGGAATGTGGAATCTGGCTGTCCTTGGGTGGATTCCACGAGCGTGGCCAAGACTGGGAGCAGACTCAGAAAATCTACAATTGCCATGTGCTTCTGAACAACAAGGGTGAGACTCGACATTTTAGCTTGCCTCTTTCCAGACTTTTCTACCACCAGCCCAGATCCTTCAGCATTATTTTCTCAACTATTTGGCTTTAGTACGCTTTGTCCTTCTGTTCTTAGCTTTATTACTCTTTGGGAGAAGAGCGTAGCTGGGCTTCTCGCTTGCCTGTACTGAGTATTTTCTCTCTCTTCCTCTAGGGCTAGTAGTGGCCCAGTACAGGAAGACACATCTGTGCGACGTGGAGATCCCAGGCCAAGGGCCCATGCGGGAAAGTAACTCTACCATGCCTGGACGCACTCTTGAGCCACCCATCAGCACACCAGCAGGCAAGGTGGGAGTTTGAAAAGGAAACAGGAATACATTAAAAAAGTGGTAACATTCCCCTTTGGAGTAGGATAATGAAGGTACTGGATGTTATGATGAACGGGACAGGGAAGATGAGTGGGTTGTTTTTCATTTCAGGTGGGTTTAGCAATCTGTTATGACATGCGGTTCCCTGAACTTTCTCTGAAATTGGCTCAAGCTGGGGCAGAAATACTTACTTATCCTTCAGCCTTTGGATCGGTTACTGGACCTGCCCACTGGGAGGTAAGAGAATGCCTATTCAAACCATAAGGACTCCTTTTAATCTTACTCTTAGTAGCGTGGTACAGAGCTAAACTCCAGGTACTCTAAGGATTTGCCACAGGTTCAAGGCCAATATGTTCTACATAGAGATATCTTGACTTAATAAAACAAAATCGAAACCAGGTAGTGATGGCACACATCTAGAGGCAGAGGCAGGTGGATCTCTGAGTTCGAGACCAGTGTGGTTTACAGAGCAAGTTCCAGGACAGCTAAGGTTACACAGAGATGCCCTGTCTTGAAAAACAAAACAGAAAACAGTGGGGCATGTGGAGCCCGCCTTTTATCCCAACACTTGTGAGGCAGAGGCAGGCAGTTGTCTGTGGCTTCCAGGCCAGCCAGGGTTACACAGTGAGACCTTGCCTCAAAAAATAGAAAATACATAGTATATGCCAGGCGGTAGTAGCACAAACCTTTAAACCCAGCACTCTGGAGACAGAAGCAGGCGGATTTCTATGAGTTCAAGGCTAGCCTGGTCTATAAGAGCTAGTTTCCAGGACAGCCAGTGCTGGACAGAGAAACCCTGCCCTGAAAACAAACCAAAATAAATAAGTAAATAAAGTTAAAAAAAAAATAGAAAATACAAAAAAGCAAAAACAAAACAAACAGCCAAATCTTACTCTCCTTCTCTTTCTACTTGAAAGGATTATCTTCCTTCCCTATCTAGGGGGAAATTCATTTCTTAGCTGTTGAGTCGTATTAGTTAATACAGTCACTAATTCTGGTTGATTAGCAGAATGGTCAATGAGTAGATTGGCCTGGAGTGTCCACTTCTTGTCACTTGCCTATTAATCACTGTATGTGCTTGAGTGAACACACTTCTCCTTCTCAGGTGTTGCTGCGGGCCCGAGCCATTGAATCTCAGTGCTATGTAATAGCGGCAGCACAGTGTGGACGCCACCACGAGACAAGAGCAAGTTATGGCCACAGCATGGTGGTGGACCCCTGGGGTACGGTGGTGGCCCGCTGCTCCGAGGGACCAGGCCTCTGCCTTGCCCGAATTGATCTCAACTTTCTGCGACAGATGTGCCAACACCTGCCTGTGTTCCAGCATCGCAGACCGGACCTGTATGGCAGTCTGGGTCAACCGCTGTCTTAAGCCTTGTGACTTCTGCTGGGGTTGAGACACACACAGACATACTCAGCTGTGAAGTGAGGCCACTGTGACTTGCAGGCAGGACCCAAGCACAGTTCTCTCACTTGCAGAACCTTAAACTCTTAATGGAACACAGGTTCAGGTTCATGGGAAAGAAGAAACTTTGATCTGATCTCAGATTTCAGTTTCAGAAAAGTAAAATTTTATATAGTCAGTGTTTATTTCATGAAAACTGAAGTTACGCTGAAGGCTGAGCAGCACTGGCATTGAAAAAAATATAATAATCATAATGTCTGTCTGGGCTTCTCCTTTGGGGGCTGGGAGGGGAGGTGGTGTGGTACCTGCTCCAATAGGCTCCACTTGTAGGCCTCCTGGCTCAAACATGCCTCCCTACCTAAGAAAGTGCAACAAGGCTCAGTGCATGTTCTAGCCCCATTCTCCAGGAGGAAAGACAGAGGGCAGGAGCAGGAGTTGATACTGAATACTCACTTTCTCTCAAGCCAGAAGGAAGCAAGGGCAAAGGGGCTCAGGATGAGGGAAGAGTTCATTTGTTATTTTCACTAGAAATGGAAGGGACATGCCACACAGCCCTTCCTTTTCAGAGAAACTTTAACCAGCACCCTGTCCTCCGTCCATCCTGTGTATTGGCGTCACACATACATCACAGCGGGGAGGGGTTAGGAGGCTGCCCCAGTCATCTAACTGTTGGAGAGGATCTGACAAAGGGGAAAGGGAGGGAGCCACACGAGGCAGCAGTTTCAAGCCATGGAATGAAGGAAAGGCAGAGAGGAGCAGCACCAGAGGCCAGGAGAGAGTGGAAAGGGCCACAGCTTCTTTGTTTTTAAAAAATTCTATAATTTGGAAGAAGGTGGTAATTAGTTTCCAAAATACACTTCCGAGTCCCACCTTCCACAGCTCCTTTACTCACAGCCCTTTGGTTTTCAGACAAATCTAAGAGCCCTCATAAAGCCATAAGTATCGATTACCCCTCAATGCACCTGAAAGCAACGTTCAGTCCCTTACACAGGCTATGTTCCATAGACTCCATCCCTATACACTTGTCTTACGGCTCAGTGGTAAGGTGGCTGTAGACACACATTACAGGGTAAGTGGCAACAGGAAACAGAGGGAAAGCCCAGGCACATGGGTGCAGGGAGGGGTAGGGAACACCACTTCCACTTTCCTTTGTCTTTTCCTTTAAAAAAAAAAAAAAGGCGGTGTGATTGGCTGAAGGGCAGAGAACAAACCCCAGTGTGTAAGCTCCAGACGTGATGGAGCGAACAATCCCCAGAGGTGAGAAGGGGGAAAGGTCAGGGCAATGCTTGCAGCATCAAGTTCCTCAGGAGTTTCTGTCGGCCAAGCTCATAGTCCTCCTCATCCACATTCACCAGCAGCTTGATGGCTTCGTGGCCCACAGCTTGCTTGAGAGAGTCTGTGATGAAGACACCTTTCAGTGCTTCTAATAACGAGCCATTGATGTAGTCGCGCCAGAATGCGTCGAGGTAGGTGAGCTCAGAGAACTTGATGTCACAGATGATGGAGCCCAGGTCCCGGGACTTGAGGATAGTGTTGGCCTGGTTAAAGCGCTCAAACTGGCGCTCAAGTGGGTCCTGCTTATTGGAGAAGACGTTGCCTTGCAGAGCAGTCTCATGCTGGCAGTATTCCGCCCGGACTCGAAGCCTGATGTCTGGGAGAATTTAAGGAGAATGGTTTATAGGAAGGACTGGGTTTACATCCAAAGCTAGAAAAACAAGCAAGACCAGCAGAGCAGAAACCCTCCCCAAAGCCAATTCTCTGAAGTGTCTCTGAAGTCCTGCCTCAGTGCTGGAGCTTCCCTACAGTGAATATGCTCGAGTCACTCACAAACAGCACCTTGTTTGTAACAGCTGTTTTCTTAGAAAGGTGCAGAAATGTATTTTAATTGTCTTACTTGGTTCATCCTGTATAAAGAAGTCATATTGGCATTCCTTTGACTTAACTAAAAAGAATTGTAACGTAACACTGCCAAAGGATAATCTCATAAAAACCACACCCGACCTGACAAAAGCAACCAAAGCTGCCTTGCACTGAACAACACACTGCCCATTATCCCAGGTTCTTTGTATTTTTCCTCTAGAATCCTTGAATTTTCTTACCACATGTCTGCTTTTCCTTGGGATCTGGTGTCACCGACTTCCGGCGTTTTCGCTGGTTCCCAAGTGTGGCTCTCCCTCGGGCTGGTCGCTTACTACACATCTGAGAACCTGAAGTGGGGCAGCACACCACAGGATAGTGGGGAGGCACTGGCCAGAAAGGAAACGGAAAACACACGTTTTAAAAGCAGAACTTCAAATACTTCACTTGGAATAATGCAAAGGATTCATTTATACTTAATAATAAAAGCAGTATTGATGAATCTGATGGCTGAGGTGATCAAATGTCTGTCTAGTATTAATGAAGATCTGGGCTTAACCCCAGCATGGGGGTGGGTACTAGTGTGGCGGAAGAAATTTGTTATCCCAGCACTCAAGAGTGAAAGAAGGAAGCTGGGCAGCAATGCACACCTTTGATCACAGCGTTTGGGAGGCAGAGGCAGGCAGATCTCCAAGTTTGAGACCATTCTGGTCTATACAGTGAGTTTCAGAACTCTGTCTCAAAACAGCAACAAGAAAAAAAGTGAAGGAAGATGAAGTCAAAGGCCAGCCTGGATTACACAGAGTTCTACATTACCTGGGCTAAATAGAAATCTCAAAAAAAAAAAAAAAGTTGGGAGAAGGTCAGACAGTGGTGGCGCACCCTTTAATCCCAGCCCTTGGAAGGCAGAGGCACGTGGACCTCTGTTGAGTTCTAGGCCAGCCTGGTCTACAGAGTGAGTTCCAGGACAGCCAGGACTGTTACACAGAGAAACCCTGCCTCCCATAAACAAACAAACAAACAAACAAACAAAAAGTTGGGAGAGGTGGCTCAGTGGTTAAGAGCACTTGTAGCTTTTGGAGAGGACCCAGGCTCAGTTTCCAACACCTACAGTGGCTTATAATTATCTCTAACTCCAGTTTGAGGGGATCTGACACCCTTCTTCAGCTCTACAGGATCCAGGCAGATGCTTATATACATAAAAATAAATTTAAAAAACACAAAACTTGGGGCTGGAGAGATGGCTCAGAGGTTAAGAGCACTGACTGCTCTTCCAGAGGTCCTGAGTTCAATTCCCAGCAACCACATGGTGGCTCACAGCCATCTATAATGAGATCTGGTGCCCTCTTCTGGCATGCAAAAATACATGGAAGGAATGTTGTATACATAATAAATAAATAAATCTTTAAAAAAAAAAAAAAAACACAAAACTGCCCTAGAGGCTGGAGAGAAGGTTAACAGGCATGCAGACAAAATAGTCACATGCATAAAATTGATTTTTTTTTTTTCAAAAAATGACTTAAAGGAAAATCTTAGTGAGAGCAAACACTAGACCTAGACAAAGCATATCTCATCTGATTTGTGTGTGTACATGTTCATAGGATGTAGTCACATGGGCATGCCTGATTCGAAGGCCAAAGGTCAACAGTGGACATCTTCCTCAATTCTCTGCCCACTACTTTCTAGACAGGGCCTTTCACTGAACCTCAAGTTCACGAATGTGCTAAGGCTGGTTGATGGGGAGCTCCAGAGATTTGCCTCTCTCTGCCTCTACAACAACTGAGGTTACAGCCACTCTTTTTGATTGCCCAGCTTTTCTATGTAGGTGCTGGGATGCTCAACTTGAGTCTTCATGCTTAGGCAACAAACACGTTACAGACTGAGCATCTCCCTAGTCTCTGACATTTTTAATGGGTAGATGAAGAGGACAATATCCTTTCATTATGTTGGCCTAGCCAGGCATGTGATGGGGTCAATATTCTTGCTTATGAAAATTACAAGTAAAAACTCACCTGTTTTAGAGGGCTGGGGAGGCCTCGGTTCTGGATCACTGAGGGCTCTGGGGGTCACATAGCGAATTGATGTTTCCTCCAGATACTTGTCTACAAGATCAGGGCACACTGTAGGAGGAGAACGAGGCACTCAGAAAAAAATACACATCTGCCTCCTCCCAAGGGTCTCACAGTTTATTCTCTGGGTGCTCCCTCGGTCAAGACCACCTCCCTTTTAGACTCCTATGCTACTAACTCCCACGAGCCTTCTTGTACTCAAGTGCTCCCAGACCCCGTAAGCCCTCACCAGCCCGTCTCTTCTTGAGAGTAACGTAGGGCAGCAAGTCATGGCGAGTGATGATGCGCAGCAGCTGTAGCACCTGGCGAAAGTTACTCTCATCACAGCGGCCCTGGCGCTCCAGTGCCAGTAAGAAGTCACGGCCATTTCGAATGAGTCCACGCTCATGGTCGTCAATAACATCAACGAAGAGAAAAGAAAGCACACGAACATCTCTGTGCGTTAGGTGGGTGCCCACGATGTCAAACATACGGTGGAGGCTGTAGAGCCCATGTTCCTGCTCACCATGCTCTTCAGGCCACACCTGGCTTGCCCGCCGCTTCAGGCCCGCCATGCTAGAGGCTCAGGGACAGAGTGCCTTCCAGAACCCCTGCTCAGCAGCTGCAATCTCCAGTGTCCTGTAAGACAGGCCAAGAACCCATGAGCCACACACTGGTAACAACTAATTTTATTTATCTGCATTGTCTCAGCATGCTACTAACAGTATACTGCTTAGTACATTTATTAAATATCACAAAGTGTTTACTAAAAATAAGTAAATAAACAAATAAACCCATCCTGGGTGTGGTGGTTCATGCCTTTCATCTCAGCATCCAAGAGGCAGACACAAGTAGATCACAGAGTTCTTGGACAGTCAAAGCTACATAGAGACCCAGTCTCAAAAAACAAACAAATAAAAGCCATCCTAAGGCTCTTCATACTGAACAGATGACACCAGATCCTACGGAGGGATACAGTCACTTCCTTGAGAATTTTTGTGCGATTTTAGTATGGCATAGTTCAGAAGTTTCTATTGCAGCTAAGCATGAGAGTACACACCTGTACTTACAACACTCAGGAGCAAAGGCAGGAGGACTGTCCTAAGTTTGAAGCCATTCTGGTCTGCACAGCAAGTTGCAGTCCAGTCAGAGATACATAGGTACACTTCTCAAACAAAACAAGCCAGTGTGATAAAGCATGCCTGTAATCCTAGCACTCAAACCAGAAGTTCAAAGCCATCCTCAACTATAGAGCAAGATCTAGGCCAGTATGGACTACAAGAAACTATCTCAAATTTTGTTTATTTCATGCTATCCAGATTGTTTAACTCTACAACACCTCTTGCCTTCAAAACAGTGCTTTTGGTCCCTTGAAAACAATGATCATGGAGCCACATGCCTATAACCAGCAGTGATGAGGGAGAGACACTAGGCTCTGATTCCACACCAACCTGGTCTATTTATTGAAACCCCATCTTATACAAACAAAAAAAATACAGTAAGAGTAACATCTGGACAGTGTACCCCTTTGATCCTAGAACTCACAAGGATCTCTGGGAGTTTGAGACCAAACTAATGGTCTACAGAGAGAGCCCCAGGCCACTATGTAGACCTGGCTGTCCTAAAACCATTGTAGACTAGGCTGGCCTCAAACTCAGAGATCTGTCTGCTTCTGTCTCCTGAGTGCTGGGATTAAAGGCACGCAATACCACACCTGGCCTCATTCATTCATTTAATCTATTTTTCTCTTTCAAGATTGGGTTTCTCTGTGTAGCCCTGGCTGTCCTGAAACTCACTCTGTAGACCAGGCCAGCCTTGAACTCACAGAGATCCACCTGTGTGCAAAACCACCATCTGCCCCATTTCTTAAATATAGGCAAAACCGAAAAGTAGAGAATACAGTCTTTGATATAGACACTGAATCAGACACTAGCTAGAGCTAGTTTAAATTCTGACTGTGTCGCTACAAACTCTAGTTGTGTGACTTTGAGCATGTCCCTTAACCTCAAAGTCTCAGTGGCCAAAGTGAATATAGTGGCACACGCCATAACCCCAGCACACTGAGAGCCTCACGCAACAGGAGAATGAATCCCTTCTGGGCCACTGGTTTCAAAAACAGAATACAAGAACAAACAGAAAACTAACCCTTCCTCACAGATGGCATGTAACAAACCCCTGCGAAGGACCAATCACAGTCCTGTATTTCATTCACAAACTCACCCTGGGTAATATCATCAACCAATCATCTAGTCTTAACAGTTTTCACCTCCACTTTATAGTTATTCATACTTACTGTCTTGAGAGACAGTTCTGAGTATTGTTCTACCCTGACCAAGACCACCAACCACAGCCAGTTCTTAATTCCTACTATACAATGCAAAGTATCTCTTTTTTTGTCTCTGCCTCCCCAGTGCTGGGATTAAAGGCGTATGCTACCACCAACCGGCGGCAAAATATTTCTTAAGTGTGCTCTCCCTTTCATTGCTACTGCCATTGCCATGGTTCAGATTCCTATCATCGTGTGAACTATACTACTACAGCTGGCTCTATTTTAATTTGTATTCCATTTATTTATTTATTTTGTGAGTGTGTGTATGTGTATGTGGGCATACGGCCACAGTGCACGTGTGGAGGTCAGAGGACAACGTTCAGGGGCCAGTTAGTTCTCTCTTTCCACCAAGTAGGTCCCAGAGATGGAAGACAGATTGTCAGGCTTGGTAGCACATGCCTTAACCTGCTGAGCCATCTCACCAGCTTTTGCAACTGACTCTTTCAAGGAGTCTCTGTTCTCTAAATCTTTTTTTTTTTTTTTTTGACACAAAATCTCAACATGTAGCCCAGACTAGCCTTGAACTTGCTAAGTAACCTAGGTAGGCAATGGACTTTCTTTTTTGCCAGCCTCTGCCTCCCAAGTGCTGGGATTAAAGGTGTGTGCCACCATCGCCAGGCTGGCAATGGACTTTTATTTGTCCTACCTGAGCCTTCTCAATGCTAGGATTATAGGCATATTCTAACACCATCAATATTTGTGGGGGAAGTACTGGTTTTTTGAGACAAGGTCTCTCTTTGTATCCCTGGCTGTCCTGGAACTCTATGTAGACCAGTCTGACCTCCAACTTGAAGATCTACCTGCCTCTACCTTCTGAGTACTAGGACTAAAGAAAGGTATTTGCCACCACATCTAACCCACCACCATTAATCTTTTTTGGTGGGGGCGGGGAGGGGGTTCAAGACAGGGTTTCTCTGTGCAACAGCCCTAGCTGTTCTGGAACTTGATTTGTAAACCAGGTTGTCCTCAAACTCACAGAGATCCTCCAGCCTCTGCCTCCTGAGTGCTGAGGTTAAAGGCGTGCACCACCACCGCCAGGCTCATCTCTATAATTCTAACCCTAATAGCAAACATCTGTCGGAGCAGCCTACTGTTGGGAACTGAACTGAATTTCTAAGAGGTCACAACACGAGCAACATCAACTCAAACTTATCAAAGTCTAAGACGGAGAGAGGACTCCACCAAAAAGACATGGAAACCAGGCATGGCTGTACGTGTGCACGCCTATAATCCCAGAATTAGGGGGGGGCTGAGGTGGATAACAAATTCAAGGCCAGGTTGAGTTATACAGTGGGTGACTCGGAATGGGGCGGGTGGGGGTGTGCACACGAGTACATTCCATATTTCAGTAACCAAGTACATAAATCCAGCTAGAATTGTCTCCATACCATAAAAAAACTACCCACAGGAAACCACCCTATTCAACAAGATGATGTTCCGACCATTTCACACACAAGGATCCTGGCTACGCTACAAGACAGAAACCGAGAAGCTTCGGCTATCACTCAGTGGTAGAGTGATGCTCAGCCCTCATGAGGCCTTGGAGTCCATTTCTAGCACCAAAGAGAAAAGAACAGAGTGCTAAGCTACTTCAGAAGGACCATCATGATAGCTGACGGAACCATTCTCCCTCAATGACCCAACAAGGAAAGTGCAGAGAGATTCCTTCCCTCTAAAAGAAAAAATAAGGCCTGGAGAGATGGCTCAGAGGTTAAGAGCACTAGTTGCTCTTCCAGAGGTCCTGAGTTCAATTCCCAGCAACCACACGGTGGCTCACAACCATCTGTAATGAGATCTGGTGCCCTCTTCTGGCGTGCGGGCATACATGGAAGCAGAATGCTGTATACAAAATAAATAAATAAATCTTTTTTTTAAAAAAAAAAGAAAAGAAAAAATAAGCCAGTTGATGTACGCCTTTCATCCCAGCACTCCAGAGGGGCAGGCAGGCCAGCCTGGTCTACAAGGCAAGTTCCAGGACAGTCAGGCTACAAACAGAAACCCCATCTCAAAAAAGGAAACAAAACAAAACAAAGAAAAAAACAATAAATAAATTTTAAAAAGAAAAAAATCCAAGAAAAAAAAAAGGAAATATAAGCCACATGTAGTTTTGATAGCCCAGGTATCCCACCCACAGTATGGGAAACAGCTGAGGAAACTTATTCACCTACACACTGGCTTTCCCCATCTCTTCCTCTCCCGGTTCACCTGTTGTCACCGAGTACAAATGGGCTGCTGAGGAAAAATAGCTTCTTACTCAAGTAGGCAGCAGGAGAAAACTGAGCTTCCTTAGAGTCCCTGCAACTTTTTCATGGTCCCTATCCCACCTGTTCCCTTGGCCAGCTGCTGATTATAAGCATCCCAAAGAAAACAGATGGGCAGGCTTCACGTCCAACCAATCAGAAGAGCAGGTTGTTCCTTGGTTCTCTAATTCAAAGTGTCCTGAAACCCTAAGCAATTAAGAAAAACCACCCCCACATACTCTGTCCCTGGAAAATGAGGCAAAATAAAGGAAAACACTGTAGTCCTAATTCCACAATCAATGTAATTCTACAATAGGTCTCGATCCTCTGGGATCAACACCCTTCACTAGGGAGGGAGGGAGGTAGGGAGGGAGGGAGGAAGGGAGGAAGAGAGGGAAGGAGGGAAGGAGGGAAGGGGGACAGAATCACTTCTTTTAAGTCCTAGATCATCTAAGGTACTAGGATTCATCAGAGCAATTTGTCCAACCAGGGGACATCTGGCAATGAGATGAAACTGGAGACGGTTTTGATTGTCAAGCTTTGTGAAGAGCCTACTACCAGCATCCAATAATGCTAGGTAGGGCACCACTACACATCCTACAGCGCAGGAGACAAGCACTATCAACAAAAGTTTATCTGGACGACGTCAGGCGGTGGTGGTGCAAGCCTTTAATCCCAGCACTCAGGAGGCAGAGGCAGGCGGATCTATGAGTTCGAGGCTAGCCTGGTCTACAGAGTGAGTTCCAGGACAGGCTCCAAAACTATACAGAGAAACCTTGTCTTGAAAAACCAAAATAATAATAATCTGGATAAAAATGTCTATAGTATTACGTTTGAGAAATTCTATTTTACATGAAAGATGGTTAAAAAAGGATGCATGTCACTTTCCTTATTAGATCCAGAGACGCTATTAGGTCTCTTCAACCCAAAACAATTCTATCATATTCTACAAGAAAAGGAAGGCTAGTCAGACACTGCTCATTTAACTCCTAAATCCATCTATCACAAAGGCGTTTCATTTCACCCCAGCAATGCCTCCTCTGTCGCCTGCTGTTGCCATTCAGGTGAACAGCAGGTGGTAGAGACATACTCCCTTCTGGTCCATCCCAGGAGGTCTACTTTGACCTAGTTATATCTGAAATTGTGTGGGACTAAGAAAATGCCATCTTCTTCAAGACCAACACAAATGATCCAGACTCCTTGTTGGGCCACTGATCAGACTAACACTATGCAAAGGAAGCAAAACACAGAAACAAGCCTTTCCCAAGGCATGTCTTCCAGCATAGTATCAAGACGCTGGCGTGCAGGCTGGTGGGCAGCTCTCCCCACTTAATTATCATCTAGGATTGTGAGTTAACTCAGCAACCCAGCCAAGGTGTCTAAGAATCTCACTTCAGGATGAAAAGAATGTTACCAACTTCCTCTTAATCCAAATTATATTCAGCTTTCAGTGGCAAGAGAACTCAGCCTAGACACAGAGCCCCTAGATGGAAGATAGCACCGTGGTCAGAACACACTCCTCCAAACAGATTTCTTAGAAAGAACGTTTGTGTTGGTTTCTAAGATACGGTAACTACTGAGACAGAAAGCAGCAGGCAGCCAAGCGCAGTGGCATACCTTTACTCTCAGCACCTGGGAGGCAGAGGCAGGTGGATCTCCGAGTTCAAAGCCGCCTGATCTACAATAGTGAGACTATAAAAACAAACAGATACACAACCATAAACAAGTATACTGATCCACTGAATGATCTTGCTATATTTCAGATATTAACATGCAAATTTTTTTGGACTAGAGATAAAACCTAGGGGCCTTGGGCATGAGTAGGTAAGCGCTCTCCCACTGAGCTACATACATCCTAGCACAGAATAATTCTAGATTCTGATGAACTGCTGAATTTCCGGGAGTCCTAGTTTGTCTTCCTTTAGGGAGGACTGAAATAACCAAGAGCCTCTAAGAGGCTATGTGTACCTAGACAGTCTCTTCCTGACAGATTATTCTCTATTGGGTGTCCATGCCCAAGCAGTCTAGACTCTCCCATCCAGAAATGACAACTCTAACTTTTTAAAGTGCTTTGATTATCAGAAACAGTATGTGAAGAATATCTTAGGATGAAAATGTAGCTTCTTTCTAACAGGAATAACAGCTATATTTTCACAAGAGAAAAAAAAATATTTGACTCTTTTGGAAGCCCTTACAAGACTAAGTCATGTGGAAGAACTTTAAAAAAAAAAAAAGTGACAACAGCCAGGTGTTGTGGCACACCCTTTGATCCCCACACTTGGGAGGCAGAGGCAGATGGATCTCTGTGAGATTGAGGCCAGCCTAGTCTACATAGCAAATTATGGGCCAGCCAGAACTACACAGTGAGACCCTGTCTAAAAAAAAGAACGGCTTGCCAGGCGGTGGTGGCGCATGCCTTTAATCTCAGCACTTGGTTGGCGGAGACAGAGGCAGGCGTATCTCTGTGAGTTTGAGGCCAGCCTGGTCTACCATGAGTTGTTATACAAAGAAACCCTGTCTTGGAGGGGGTGGGGTGAGGACAGTGGCTTGAACCTTGAAGCAACTACTACATGAAAAAATCTTCAAGGCAGTTAGAGTACATGAAGCGCTTTCCTGCTGGTGGGCCTAGGAAAACATAACCAAATATATCTGGAAGGCAGATTACACAGTATATTTTCAAAAAAAAAAATCCCAAGAACTCTGAACAGCTGGGAGAGACAGTAAACTAGAAGAAAAGTCTTTCTGCTGAAGTGCCTCAGTCACCCTCCAAGAGAAATATTTCACAGCTAATGTACAAGAGCACAGCTTTCCATATGCTAAACACGCTTCACTCAGAGCTGACCAGAAAACTAGACAATAGCAAACCAAAGCTAGGACCTTGTCCCAAGACACCTAAGATCCATTTTTCTCTCCTCCTGTCTAACTCCAGTTACCTGAGGAGTAACTGTGAGAAACCTTGATGACCTCAGAAGAGTGAGTGAACCTCAGTTTCCCTAGCATCTATCTACCTCACCCCAACGCTTGCCATACCCTTCCCAGTCCCTTCCACTGTTGGAAAAAAACAAAAAGTTCCAGACTTACCTTTGCAAGAAATTTAATTTCCCAGGTCTCTTCCTAGCACAAGTTTCAAAGCCAGCAGAAAAAACAAAAACAAAAACAAGTAAGGAGGGAAAGAGCAAAATTTCAAGCTTTATTTTGAAACTTCAAAGGTCCACAGTTAGTCAAAAAAAGTCAACGAAGCCTAAAAGTCACCTCACTGAACAAACTACTCCAAGCTAAAGAGAACTCAAACATAACAAAGTCCCTAAAGTCCCCTCTCTGATTGTCAATTCACAATGTAGTATCAACGCCAAGAACTTCCAGGCTCAATGGCTCATAGCAAGAAGAGCCCCAACTCAACCACCTCTGGGAAAAAAACCATTCCGCTGACACCGTCTCCCTTTTCTCCTCAAATCCTTAGTCCATCTATTTTCTTACAACATGGGCGCTCAGGGGGAACTGGAAGGGGAAAAGTTGCAGCCCAAGAAAGCACTTCCTTCGCTAGACTTCACTCAGCAGGCCAGAATCAATTTCGAACTTCACCTTTTCCTTTAGCACACAAGAACAAAATAGCCACTAAAGCAGCATCCAGTCACACCTACGCTTCAGTAAGAACCAGGCCTCAAAATATGCATATGGACCCCCCTTCCCTCCCAGCACCCGAAGAGCCAAAGGAGGGTCTGCAAAGGAAGGCATATTTAATTAGCCTGATTACCTAAATGCCAGCCTGCCTCTTCCATAGCCTCCTCAGGCTCCTAGCCCCTCCACCTTGATATATAAGGTTCCAATCACGATTCCCTCCCCATTCTTGTACGGCTAATTGCAAAAAAAAAAAAACCTAGAAGAGCGCTTTACTCATCTCCCTATTTGTAACCAGGAAAAACAAGGAAGCAGTAAGCAAGAGTCTGTTTTGGAAAGCAAATCCGGTTGAACCCTCATTCAACCCCAATTCTCCAAACCCACATGACCATTCCTTTCTGCCCTTCCCACCCTATTAAAAGCTAAGCGCCTGGCAATTAAAATTGGCTGCAACTGATACTGCCTAACTCTGCTGTCTTTCCACAGGGGAGAGGGAAACCCCCAAACCTCTCTCATCCGTGCAGCTCCACTGCCCTATCTCCCCTTCCTTCCAAACTTTCCTCCGGGTCTCTCACTTTCTACACCGCCACGGCACATCTCCACTCTCCCCAGTCCCCAAACCCTCCTTCTCTCCTTTTCCACCCGAATTCTCCCCAAGGCCCTTCCGCTTCCACTTCCAATTAACACTTTGAAAGCCTCCCTTCACGAAACGTCTCAAGTCCAATCTTCCCCCCTTCTCCCACGTCCTCACAACAGCGCTCCCGGGAGTCCGGTCCCTCCTGCCACCGCATGCCACAAGCCCCCTTGCCCCTTCGCACCCTCAGCCTCTCCCTCCTGCTCCTACCCCTCTCGAGGCGCTGGATCCCAGCCCCGCTCCCCACCTCGGCCTCTTTAATACCCCTGGCCTGGCCCGGCCTGGGCCCTTGTTTACGCCCCTCCCCATGCTCGCACTCGTGCGCCCCGACCCCTGCCCTCTCCCACAGTTGCCACCTCCCCTGCACGCCCCCCTCGGCCGCTCCCCTCCCCCCACCTGGCAGCGTCCCGTCACCTCCCTCCCCGGAGGTTCTCCGGCTGGACGTCGCCACCGCCTCCCCCTTCACTTTCCTTCCCCCAAGCCCTCGGCGGCCCCGCCCGGCCCCGCCCCGTCCCACTCGACTCCCCCTCCCCACTCCGGCCGCCCCGCCGCCTCACTCTCGGCTCAGGCTCGGCGCCGCCATGTTGGATCCATCCGCGCGGCTCTCCCGGGCCTGTCTCCCGGCGCCGCATCCGGGCTCCAGCCGCCGCCGCCTCCGCCTCCGCCGCCGCCGCCGCCGCGGGCGTGGGGGAGGGGAGGGACGGGCGGGGGTGGCTGCATCCTGCACAGCGCCTCCCGGAACCTGGCCGGTTAGTGTCGGCTTCGAGACCATAACGAGGCATGAGCGGAGGAGCCATACTAGGTGAGGGCAGCCTGGCAGCGGCATTAAGCAGGGAATGGCTAGCTTCACGTAGGGAAGAGATAATGGAGACGGGCAGCCATCTTGCTTTGGGGCAAGCTGGCAACGCAGGGTTTTCTTAGCGGCGGTTTCGGGGCGGTTCTAAGAAGCGGAGAGAGTAACGCGCTTGGCTGTGGACAACTTGGTGGCGCCAGAGCTGGCTGGTATCGGACTCCGAAGCCCATTGGGAGAGTTGGGCTGGCAGCCATGACACGTAAGGGCGGAATAGTACGGGAGCTGGACTGCCTGGTGAACTTGGGTGAAAGTTCAAGATCTGGCTTTAACCTTTGCTTTGAACTTCCTGTCACCCGGACGTTCTGAAACCCAGAGCTTGCAGCGCTTCTCAGAGTTGCTCTCGGAATTCATCCCTTCAGTGTTTTCCTTTTGCGCTCTCACTTCCTGTCGAACGTCTCTCCTGAGCTGACTCGAGAAGGACTGTCGGGAATTGAATAGGGGGGCGCGGTGGGGTGGGGCTCACGTTTGTTCTGGAGCTGCCAACAGCCTAACGTGGCTAAAGGAAAAGGTAATGCATAAGGTCTATGAGATAGGGAGGGATCTGGTGTCGCGGCCTTGTTGATTTACTTTATCCTAAGGGCAATGAAAAGGCTTTGAAGGGTCTAAACAGAGGTGTGAGCAATTATGTTTGTATTGTAGAAAGATCACTACTTGCCAACCTGGGCATGTTAGTGCCGGTCTGGAGCCTGAGGCAGGAGGATTGTTTGAGCTCTGAAGGTGGAGACCAGTTTGGGCTTCATCTAAGCGAGGAAGACCACTATAACGTTAGCTCAGTGAGAGTGAGTTCTTAGCACAGTTAGGCCTGGTGTTCAGTCCCCAGGGAGCGGGGCTGGGTAGAGAGAGATCACCGGTTGCCTTGTAAAGAATGTTTGCAAAAGTAGAGGAGAGAACAATTAGGAAGGTAAGGAAGAGTCGGTGGTGGTGTGTAGATAGGAAGGCATGCGTTGGATAAGGTGGTATGAATGTTCTGACTTGAAGAACTGGGTTATATTACTTTAACTCTAAGGGAGATCGTGTGGGTTGGAAACCAAGAAACTTTAAAGTGCGCTTCTGTGCATATGGATAGTTCTTGGCGCTGTAAAAGAGGATAATGGCCTAGAGAGGAGGAAATATGTATTTGAGGGATTAGACGAGGGGAGGAAGCTGAGAAGAGGACAGTAAGAAGGAGCAAACAGGAAGAAAGAAAGGAGAAAGGCATCAAGGAAATTTGTTTAAAGTGTTACATGTAACAGGTCAGGTAAGATGTGGATTAAAATGTGTCCTATGGATTGTGGAAGAAGAAAGGACACTAGGTACATTTGAAGAAAGCTATTGTTAAGAACCGGACTGGAAAAAAAAAAGAACCGGACTGAAATGGAAAGATATTATGTACAAAATATTTTTGTGGCCAGGCATGGCAACTCAGACTTGTGATCCCAGCATTCAAAAAGCTGAAGGATATGATTTGAGCTAAAGCTGGACCTATGTAACAGACCAGCCATATGTTGCAGGATATTGGATCACACTGTGAACCCCAAGATTGAATTATGTTGCTTTTCCATATCACATTGTATTATATTTCTGATATTGCTTTATGTTGTTTTTCTCATTACTTCATCAAACATTTTTTCAAAGGTATCTACATCTGAATCAGCCAGTAAGATATCCATAGATTTTAGATTGAGGAAACTACGAATCCTGCCTTCCTGCCTGCCTGCTTTCCTTCTTTCTTTTCAAGATTTATTTGTTTTATACAGTGTTCTGCCGGAATGTATGCTCACACACCTGAAGAGGTCACCAGATCTCATTCTAGGTGGTTGTGAGTCACTATGTGCCTGCTGGGAATTGAACTCAAGACCTGGAAGAACTAGACCTGGATGGAGGAGGGTGGTCCTTGGACTTCCCACAGGGCAGAGAACCCTGATTGCTCTTTGGGCTGAAGGGGGGGGGGACTTAACTGGGGGACGGGGAGGGAAAGGGGAGGCGGCGGGTGGGGAAGAGACAGAAATCTTTAATAAATAAATAAATTTTAAAAAAAAGACCTGGAAGAGCAGCCAGTGCTCTTAACCAACCTCTAAGCCATTGCTCCAGCTCCTATGAATTATTTCTAATAGCTATTGTACAAAATATTTACATAAGATGGAGCTGTTTAACATTCCTTGTGGAAGAATTTTCTAGTGGTACCTTTTAACAGGCTGGGAATTATTAAAAGTAGGCATTGTAAAGAGAAGTTTTTCTCTGTCCAGTTTTTGTAAAGGTATAGTTAAAAAGTAGCAAGCTCTCTTGTCAAACTATCTTTGGTCCTCCAGCCTGCAAATAATGACCCGGAGACTTATTACTAATTCTTAGCCTTAGCTTAGGTTTTTATCCAACTAACTCTTATAACTTAGCCCATAATTTTTAATCTGCCTTCTACCACATGGCTCAGTTACCTCTTTTTGATATGGCACATCCAACTTGCTCTGAGTCTGGTGGTGAAATTGCTCACCTAGATTCCTCCTCCCAGTTTCTCTCTTTCTGCCTGGAAATCATACCTGTTCTCTCCTGCCTAGCTATTGGCCATTTAGCTCTTTCTTAAACCAATCAGAAGGCGCCTTAGGCAGAGACACAATACTCTTTAGCACACTATAATAGACCATCCCTTAGGTAATAAAGAAGGCAAGGAAATTCTAGGCTGCAGAGACCTCATTGGCTGAATTGCCTTATTTATAGCTCTCAGATCTGTTAACATTCTCCATTTTCCAGGTTTCTTTTTAATAAATATAGAATTCCAAGGACTGATCAATTCTTCAATATGTTGAGCATTTAACTGCTGTTCTACCACCTGTTCTAGTGCTATAACCAACAAATTCATTGCTATGTTAGCTGTCAGTAGACTTTTCTTTCCTGCCTGCCAGTTCCCAACTAACCAATTCAGAGACTCAATAAATATTCATAAATGCTTGACTGATAGCTCAGGCTTATTATTAAGTAGCTCTTACAACTTAATCCAGTTTTTTTAAATCTTAGTTTTACTACTTGACTCATGGCCTGTTACCTCATTTTGTACACGTCCTGCTTCCTCTGTGTCTGGCTGGTGACTCAATTCCACCTTCTTCCCTACTTCCTTCTAGTCTGGCTTTCCCACCCAGTCTCTTCCTGCCCTGCAATAGGCCAGTGAGATCTTTATTAACCTATGAGAGTAATACATATTTACAGTGTACAAAGATTGTTTCACAGCAGTTAGCCACATACGGTTTTAATTTCCCTACCTGTCATCCTTCTGGCCCTGTACATTCAGTCCACCTTGTACTTTGTTTTACCTAAGAAAAATTTCATTCCCTAGAAGCTGAATATTTACCTCCTAAAGAGGCCAATCTGGGTGCTAAGATTTGGGTGAAATGTTGTGGAATATTTCTTTGCACTATGTTAGGATGTGTCACTGTGATTGGTTTAATAAATAGCTGAATTTCCATAGCTAGACAGGAGAGTTAGGCATGGTTGGGGGAGGGCAGGGAGAAAGACTCTAGGTGCAGGAATTCTGCTGAGGGGACAGAGAGGAAACAAAGTGCAAGATGGAAGAGAGGTAATGCCATATGATATAATGGTTGGAGTTCACAGAGATCCACCTGCCTCTGCCTCCTGAGTGCTGGGATTAAAGGTCTGTGCCATCACCACCTAGTTTATTTCTAGGAATCCTAAACTTGAGTGATCCTGATGGAAAGCAAAGGAATCACATGTAAAATTTCTTAAATAAAAAATTATTAACTTAAAAAATTACTTTTAGGTTGGGCATGGCTATCATAGACCTTTATTTCTAGCACTCAGCTAAAGGCAGGCAATGAGCCAGCCTGGTCTGAACAGTGAATTCAAGGTCAGTGAGGGCTATATTGTTGTGGGGTATTTGATCACAGCATGAACCTGAGACTGCGTTATTTACTAGAAAAACCTGTTTCCAGTTGTGGTGCGGCTCAGCCCTAGCATACACATCAAGATCTTTCTGCTTGCATTTTGAAAACAGGACTAAAAAAAAAGTCAACCAAAAGGGGGAGCAAACATCTAGGTGGCAGGAAGAGAATGTAAGATTATTAAGAAAAACCATAGGGAGTAAGAGGGAATCGGAAGGATGAGTAGAGAGATGCACAGGAAGCAGGAGGGAGGGACAATGAGTTGGGGGACTCATGTTTGAGATGGACAAAGTGAGGCTTCTGGGACATCGGCTGTGGAGGAAGGTCAGCTGGTGCTTTCTCTGCTTCTCCTGGGATAGTAGGCTTTCACCCCAGCATCTGGCACCTGAGTCTTTATTGGTAAAAATCAAACAATTGAGATTTTGTTAAAAACAACATTGGCTCTCCAACACGTGACATGACTACATGGTATACCCACACATTCCAGCCTTCTGGAATATGCAGAAGATGTGGCAAAAGCCAGCATTGGACTAATGAATGCAGATCAATGAGGGACAAGCAAAGTAACCCTATGCCTTCAGCAAATGCCTCAGGGGACCTACTGCAGGTTTCAAAACCAAATTTGGTTCAATCATTCCCTGTCAGCATTAGAGAAACTCATCCACAGAACGATTAAAAGACTTAATACCTGTTATTAAAAACAACACAGCTCTGGATGTGATGAAGGATAGAACAGTATCAGTAGATAAAGGGTCAGAAGAGATCAAACAAGTATTTTGGCAAACTGGTACAAATGGTCAGAGACCAAAGCTAAAAATACAGATAAATGGCATTGAAATTGAAAGTTTAGTAGATACAGGAGCAGAAATAACAGTAATCTCATTGCAGTACCCAGAGACTTATTAATTATGCAATCTTGGTTTTTAGGTTAGGTTTGTCTCAACTAGCTCTTTTAAGAAAATTAACCCATTATATCATATGGCATTACCTCTCTTCCATCTTGCACTTTCTGTTTCCTCTCTGTGTCTCCTGATGTCCCCTCAGCATAATTCCTGCACCTAGAGTCTTTCTCCCTGCCCTCCCCCAACCATGCCTAACTCTCCTGTCTAGCTATTGGAAATTCAGCTATTTATTAAACCAATCACAGTGACACATCCTAACATAGTGCAAAGAAATATTCCACAACATTTCACCCAAATCTTAGCACCCAGATTGGCCTCTTTAGGCTCCACTAACTCTTATAACCAAAATTAACCCACTTCTATTCATGTACATGTTGCCATGTGACTCATGACTTTTATCTTCTCTATGTGGCCATCCTGCGTACTCCTAACATCTCTGCCTTTTCCTTCCCAGCATCCTCTCTGCCCAAAAAGTCCTGCCTAGATGTTGGCCATTCGGCTTTTTATTAAACCAGTCAGTGACACATATTCACAGTGTACAAAAAGATCATTTCAAAACATTAAACACTTTCCTTTCTATTTAGACAAAAAAGTGGAAGAGTGTTGTGGATTATTTGTAAAGATGTGTCTTTGTCAAAGCACCTTCTGATTGATTTAATAAAGAGCTGAATGGTCAATAGCTAGACAGGATGAGGTTAGGCAGACCCTCGGGAGATAGAGAGGACTCTGAGAAGAAAGGCAGAGTCACCAGGAGATGCAGAGCAAACAAGATGTGCAGAAAGTGAGCTAACAGCCACAAGACCTGTTTCAGAATGTAAATTAATATAAATGGGTTAATTTAGGTTATAAGAGTGAGCAAGTTACAAGTCTAAGATCTAAGCTGAGCTTCCCATGTCATAGGGATGCTGGAGGAACAGAGAAAGACTTGTTATAAATAAATCTTCATTTTAAGAACACAAAAAACTTTCCTTCCATCCTCTGAAGGTTTGAGGGAATGATCTAACAATAAACAGACTAGGCAGGAAAAAAGACATATTTTTATTAATGTTCCAAAGAAGAAAATGTCACAACTTGCAGGGGTGGGGGGTGGTTACCACAGTAGTGATGGTCCAACATTATTGAGGAACTTACATATGTTTTTGTCTTTTTTTTTTAAATAGGGAAGAGAGTTAATAAGAAATGTTAAATAGTGAAATATTATTGGGGAAACTTAGCCTCCTTAAACATATACTACCCTAGGACAAAATATGTCCGAGGCACAACAGAAAATGGATTTTTAAGTGATTCTCCATGGGGCCAAAACAAAGGACAATGATGCGTGTCAGAAGCTGTGTGTGCAGACAGATATCAATGTTCCTTCCATGTAGTTCATGGTGAAGTCTCAGTAAGATGGAAGGCAGCAGTCTTCCCCATCCCTGGATTGTTAGGTAGATAAGGAATCGTGTAGGAAGCCTCTTTGTATTCAAAAAACATGAAGAAACAAGAGGTCAAAGGGACTTTAACTCTGTGGAAAATCAAAAAAACCTCTCAGAATGACAAAGCATCAACCACCACTGAGCAACTATTTTGAGATACTGAACAGCATATTATGTTTTTGTTTCAGACAGGGTCTCTCCATTATGTAGCCCTAGCTATCCTTGATGTCATACTTTAGACCAGGTTGGCTGACTTCAATGACTGCCTCTGCCTCTCAAGGGCTGGGAATAAAGGTGTTTGCCACCACATCTAGCTAATTTTATGGAATATGACTTATAAAAGAAAGAAAAATATTTCTAAGATAAATGTGATGAAGCTAGAACACAAACTTGAACATATATCCTGTTTAAAAACAAATTCTGTTATAGCTTTTGTGTTTTTGTTCCACTGGTGGACAAAGGCAGGGCAGACAGATGCAAAAATAATACCTCTTTTGTAACTCAATACTCATTATTTGGTATAAATTTTGATACATACAAAAAGGAAAACGATACAAGATAGCCTAAAGGGTTGACAGTGCTGATGACGCTTGTCTTCAACAGGAGGTCACAACTGAAAATGTCTGGCTGGCTTGCCCTGGGCATCTCCCACTCTTTCTCCCTTGTTGTCTCTCTTCTCTCGAGCTTAGAGTCATCCTCCTGTTTATTCTGTCTGCCCACCAGCCCTGCCTATCAAGTATAAACTAACGTAACACATCGTTACATAGTTAAAGCAATATTCTATAACATAACAAATGTAACACATCTTTTCATAGTTAAAGCAATATAGTACAACACCAGATGTCACTAGCTGCTGGGTAAAGGTGAAGTCACAGTGAAGGTTAAATTCTTCCAGGTTTGCAGCATGTTAATGAATGGATGCAATTCCTCACTCTAGAGGCTGAGGCCAAAAAATCAAAAGTTTCTGGTTAGCCTAAGCTACCTAGACTGCCACCATTCCCAACCCCTTTGGTCCTTGCTGTAATTAGATCTGGAGGTGGTAGAAAAGCTCATGAATTGATTAAGGATGTGAATTCTGGAGGCAGGCTGTTGTGGAATATTATTTTAACTTAGAAGAGATGTCTTATATTTGTTTATACTGTGGGATATTACTTTTAACTGTGTAAAGCTGTTACGTTTGTTTATGCTACACTGGTTTATTATGTAAAGATGTGTTGCATTTGTTTCATTTTGCCTGCCTAAAGCACCTGATTGGCCTTATAAAAAGCTGAATGGCAGGAGGATAGGCGGGGCTGCCCAACAGAAAGAATAAATAGGAGGAAGAATCTAGACTGGAGAGGAGGAGGAGAAAATGAGGGCCAAAAAGAGGGAGATGCCCGGGGCCAGTCATCAGCTGCCAGCCAGTTGATACAGAGTGGGACATACTGAGAGAAAGGTCAAAAGCCCAAGGCAAAACATAGATGAAAAGAACAGATTAAAATAAGAGCTAAGCTAAGGCCTAGCATTGAAAACTAGTAATAAGTGTACGTATCATGATTTGGGAACTGGTTAATAGCACCAAAGAAAAAGCCTGGTACACCAGGCTATGCTTGGGACCGAAGAGCAGATCTGTCATTATATGTGAGGTTCATCGAATCTACTGTGCTTCTGTTTCTTTTCTGTTTTTCTTTGTTTGTTTTGTTGTTGGTTGGTTGGTTAGTTTTTGTTTTTCCCGAACAGGATTTCTCGTGTAGCCCTGGCTGTCTCTGAGCCTAGCTCTGTAGACCAGGCTGAACTGAAACTCAAAGAGATCCTCCTGCCTCTGCCTCTTGAGTAATGAAATGCCGAGCCTATTTATATGTAATTGAAAATTATAAAAGTACCTAAGAAGAGCTGTTGTTAGTATTCAAGGAGTTAACATACATAAAATATTTAGGACCATACCTAGCATACAATAAACATCCTGTGAATTTTACTGTTTTCTTATCAAGTGATTATATGCATGAATCTTATAGTTTATAGTAATAATCAAACTTTAATTCGTATTGATGTCTCCAGGATAATTAAAAGAAATTACACTGGGCGGTGGTGGCGCACGCCTTTAATCCCAGCACTTGGGAGGCAGAGGCAAGCGGATCTTTGAGTTTGTGGCCAGCCTGGTCTACAAAGGGAGTTCCAGGACAGATTCCAAAGCTACAGAGAAACCCTGTCTCAAAAAAAAAAAAAAAAAAAAAAAAAAAAAAAAAAAAAAAAAAAAAAAAAAAAAAAAAAAAAAAAAA